TGTGGTTAAGCAAACTGTTGCCTTAGCCACCAGCCACATTTTTAGTACAAGCTCTGACTTTTTAGTGTTTCCCCCCTTTCTTTTGAGAAAACTGTTTCTTAGGAAGATATGGTGTGCTATGCCACTAGGTTAAGTTATTTAGATGTTGGTTAGCCCATCAATTATAATAATACATTTATACTTCTCTTTCTTTCCTTTATTAACTCACTCACAGGTGGTTAATAGAATACCCATTTATCCATTACATGGTCTATCACTGAAATGATGTGTCTGATGAGCAGATTTGAGAGGACCTAGAAGGTCTTTCTCCTGCCCCTAACAACCCCCACACCCATATCCTTCTCAGTTTAACATATATCACCTTTTCAAATTAAATTCAAATTATAATTTCTAAGCATCGAGTGCCTTCTTTCTACTTTTAAGATGGTAAATTGCACTGAGATAAGCAACATTTTGCAAAATACTGTGTTAAAATGAGTTTACAAAATTAATTCTCTGAAAGAAGAGAGAGATAGGAGCACATGAGAACATTGGGCAGCTGATAAGAGGCATAGAGGGATTGGAATGGAGGCAAGAAATAAAGAGGAGCGATGGTCTCTGAAGTCTTGCTCAGACTGGAACTCACTTGAACCACCACGCCCTAGAGTAAGAACAGCAGATGATTTCCATCCAGGACTCATTTGCCATTTGGTGGGCTTCTTGTACATTTCCTGTGGTATATACTGTGTCAAAATACCATTAAAGCCATTTCTTGATGTGTAGCTAGAGCAGTGATTCAAGTGAAGTTTGCCTTCTTCCCATTGTATAAAAGAACCTTTGGTGAACAAATAGATCTTTAACTTTTAACTATTGGCAGAAAATTAAATATAGGATCTGACATTTAAACGTATGGACAAAAAGTGAGGCTTACATTTCCATGTTAAGGAACATCATATTTGAATCTTTAGTATCAAAGAATGAAGAGATAAGAAAACTGAAAATCTCTGAACAGAATATACCTTTTGTAGTGGGTTTAAAGTAAATGTATATTGTCAATTTCATTTCTTTTTTTGAGATGGAGTTTCACTCTTGCCCAGGCTGGAGTGCAATGGCGCAATCTCGGCTCACTGCAACCTCTGCCTCCTGGTTTCAAGTGACTCTCCTGCCTCAGCCTCCCAAGTAGCTGAGATTACAGGTGCATGCCACCACACCCAGCTAATTTTGTATTTTTAGTAGAGATGTTTCACCATGTTGGCCAGGCTGGTCTTGAACTCCTGACCTCAGGTTATCTGCCCACCTCGGCCTCCCAAAGTGCTGGGGTTACAGGTGTGAGCCACCGCACTTGGCCCACAGTGTCATCTTTTATAACTAACTTTTGTAATAGGAAGCCATTACCTTTTTTAAGCACGGAAGAAGGAATGCATTAAAACACACACACACACACACACACACATATATATATATATATAATTTGCATGCCAGTAACTTTAGGTGTTTAAGAATAAAATATAATTAGTGCATTTTTATTAAATTCTGCAGAACATCTGCTTTTCTCCAGGAATCTGGACACTAAGACACTAGAATTTTGTTTTTGATTAAGTATACACTGGCTGGTCATGTGGATATTTTATGTTTTGGTCATAAACTATAAGTCTTTAGATTTGAAAGCATAGTGGTTTCGTCTAACTGGATGTAATTATTCCCAACCAGGTTTAAAATCAACATCTTAGCAATGTTTTACAGACTACTTTAAAAGAAGTTATGTACAAGAGGCTTGATCATATAAAAAGAATCTAAACTCAATCATTTCTCTTGTGGACTTTGTTTAGATTATTTCCAGTTGATCTGTATTTTCTACTTTCTAAGGTTAAAAGCTGCATTTTCCTTAATTCAAAAGTATGTGTTTAAAAACCTACTCATTTAGTTGCATTGGTTTATAGAGTTATCCTGTTGCTACTGACTTTAAAAGAAAAAAAAAATCTGTAAACCTGCCAAGTGTGGTAGTAGTAGTTGGAAGGAGCTTTGTATGCTATTGGAGGAAGATAGTACCATGTTGTAGGAAGATTTGGAATAGATTCCTGGTATAGTTAACTCTTGAGTGTGAAATATCACACTGTCTAATATAATATTCTAGAGGAAAATTAATAAAAGATGAATGCAAGGAAAAAATGCATCTTCATAAAATATAGAGCAATTTCAGCTGTCTATTCAAGGACTTCTCATAAAAAATAGCATTCTGAAATGATGAAGCTGAAATGAACCCCAAATACTGTTAATTCTCAGTTTTTAAGAAGTCTGGAAGGAAGGCATGATCAAAATTAAGTCAATTCATAATTCTTAGCACTTAGCTCAATATCTCATAGGAGATACTGTGTTTATATGTCATAAACACAATGCCTTTGGTTTAGTAACTATCTCTGTTGAATGAATGAGTGAATAAGTAAATGAATGAATGACCTGCTAACTGCATTTAGCTGACAGTTTTAGTTTGGGTAGATATATAATTTTTAAACTAATTACTGGATCCTACTAAAGAGCAAAATACCTCTGAAAGTAAAGGGGTCTGGAACAAAACACTGGACTATGGGTCAGTTTTATTTTCTTCTTTGTGGTCTTGTGTAATTTTCCAAATTTTTAATAACAAATATTATGTACCAAAATTTTTTCAAGATATGTGGTTAGAATGTATCTTAAATTTATCAAAGATCTACTGACTCCTATCTCATCTATGATTCAAATTGCAGAGGCCCTACTTTTGCAATAAAGGCTACTTTTGAAAACAAATGTAATTATAGCCAAGCAACATTTCTAGGGTTAAGTTGAAGAAAGAAGTTTATCTTGACTTAATTCAGTTTCTATAAGTCAAGATAAACTTCTTTCTTTAACTTAACCCTAGGAAACTGAATTAATGTTTCTGCCACTGAAAGAAAACCAGATCAGTTTTATTTTGTACTGTTGAGAATGTTTATATCTTTCCTGAGAAATAACCAGGATATGTTGCTGAATGCCAATGTTCTTGTTTCAAGTATAGTCATATCTGAATGATTTTTAAAAAGAAATCACACTAACCTATTAAAAAAAAATCCCCTGCTCTCCTTGTTAGAGGCAAAATATTGAACCAGGGTGGATGGATAATCCGAGTCACTGTTGCAGTTCGTAGCTGAATCCTGTGACTAATGGTAGAGGTATCTGTCTAGGTGGACCACATGGACCTAGTTATCTGCCCACTGGAATGACACAGTGGGGAGATATCTGATGAATATCATGGAACATCTGTGAATGGATCACAACTATGCCTGATGTGAATCATTCTTTCCTCAAAAAATCTAAAGTTTAATAGTTAAAAAATTCCAAACTGTTGCCATCACATAAACTTAGTCGTTTGGCTTATTTTAGGGGTTGGGAAGGAAGGAATACAATACATACTCTAGGATGTTTTGCCAGTAAGTTGTTTGACTATGTTTAAGACTCCTAAATTTAGAAAACTTAAAAACTGATTGCAGAAGGTGATCAGTAAGAGCCCTGGGTCACTGCAAGCAATAAAAAAGACTTTCTTTAACTGCTCACCACTGTCATGGAGGCTACAGGATTTAAGTCTCCTGAGCTTGGTGGATTTAATAGTTTGTTCTGTCAGTCTTTAAATTTAAAGGGCTTAGTTAAAGGTACACATAACATACTAACAGAGGCACTCCTACCTGCAGAATTTCCGCTATTTAGGGGACCTTGGAGGAAGTATTTGGTGTCTAGTTCTTTAGGTGACAGTTTCCTTCACTGAATAATCCTGTTTCACATAGATTTCCCTAACTTATGATCGCAATTTTTTTTAGGGCATTATTACTTAAAACAACTGAGGAAAAAAAGAAAAACAACTGAATGATTGTGTGGGATTAGCTAGGTGTGAAGCTGTGGTTTCCTGGATACTGCTAATGCTGCTTTTACAACTCTTTGTGGGTAATTTAGCCTACCTGTTTATAGAGATGGGGTGAATGAATGCAGAATAGCCACATTTTCTATTGCCAGGAGTAACCTGTTACCCTCTATATGATCTAAAATATTTAGCATTGTCTTGTAGTTTGACTTTTTCTCTTTGATATCTTGATATACCTATCTGCTTCTTTTGATTTCTTGACACTAAAGAGAAAATGAATGTACATAAAATCTGTTCACCATGAACATTTACAAATATGAGTGTGTTTGTGTGCGTCTTTGTATTTTGTGAAATGTGAGCGAGTTATGGTGAATATCTTTGCCAATAAACAATTAACATATATTTAATATTTTATAAACTGTATGGCAATATTTTTAGCTGTGGTAAAAGATCACATAGACTAATTTTTTTTAAATAACTATTCATAAGTTAATATTTGAATGAACTATATATGTATTTCTTTGACAATGGTATAATCAACAGGGAGTCAACTCTGTTGGAATAAACAAACTAGTTGGTTACAGTTCAAAAGAGGCCCACTATAATCTCGAATTACTAAACAGTGAATGGGCTTTTAGAAGAATAAATATATAAATGGAAGAAGAAATGAAATGTGATGTATTCCTAACAAAAACTGAATAGATGAGATTTGTTCTACAAAATATCAAAAAGTAAATTTGCCCCTATTGTTCTATTTTTAAATAAATATACAACCATTGTTTTGCACTGAAATGTATATTTGTACATTTTATCTGATAATATTTTGGGAAATTGAAATCTGTTGTTGTTTTGTTTGTTTTTTAAGGAAAGCATGAAGAAGAATTTACAAATGGGAAAAAATTGTTTAAGATTACCAGTAGTTTCTTTTCTGGACTTGAAATAGTTACATTCCTAAATATGAGAACAATAACTTTGCCTAAAATTTCAGTATCATGACCAGGTCTTCTCTCCATTTTAGAGAAGCAGTCCAATGTGGAACAGATAAGATGACAGCGATCCAGTGAGGTCAATTCCCCACAGAGGAAAGCTATGCATACCTAACTTAATGGAAGGTAAACTTCTCTTCAATTAATGATGTCCTCCTTTTCTCAAGGTGTCCAAAGACAGGAGGTGGTCTGTAAAAGGTTGGATGACAACTCCATTGTCCAGAACAATTACTGTGACCCTGACAGTAAGCCACCTGAAAATCAAAGAACCTGCAACACTGAGCCCTGCCCACCTGAGTAAGTAAGGGAAAGAAGTGAGAATTATTTACTTCAGGTGCAAAGAGGAAAACATTATGTATTCCTGTTTGGAAATATATTTATATGATAAGAATAAATTAGGTTGGAAAAAAGGTAGAAAACATCTTGAGAGGGAGGAATCTTGATGTCCCTTTTACTGAGCAAAGATTCCTATTTATAGATTTCAGTTATTAACTTCTTTAAAGCAGGAACTTCAATGAATTTGGTCCTTACATGAAGCTGGAAATGATCATATTTCATCAATTCTAAAGCACATATCTTTTTACATTTTAACATCTCTGAAATTAGGATGCAACCTGCAGCTAATGGTGTCTTATGATAATAATTGACATTTTTCCCCTTTCTTAATGGCACATAAAAAAAGTCTTAGATTTAATAAAATATAGTGATTTATTTACACTCCTGTATTTTCCAGATATTTGTCCTAAAGCCCTAAAGACTTTTAAAATGGTTTAGAAATACTCTGGAATAGAATATCAGGGCTTTAACTTGCTGACCCAATTTTAAGTTCTGTTGTTGTAAGGTATCCTATCTTCTGAGTGTTGGGGACAGGCATAGAGGTACACTTTGGTCTCTTTCTGTTGATTAATGCAGCAATTACAACTCATTGTTAAGGGATTAACAAGAAGAGACCCCAATCATTTTAATGATGGTTTTAAATGAGACCTGCTCTCAATGAGCCACACATTATAATCTGTAAGAACAGAAAGGTTTCTTCATTGAGCAAAAGGCAATGATTATGTGAAAAAAGATAAAGGGCGTTGAGTTGATCATGACAAAAGTAATCTTTGTAGAGATTTTGCCTGACTGACAACTGCAAGAGAAAACATGTATGAATGGCATTCTTGTTTGAGAAATTGGATGAACTGTTATCTGCCTGGTTAGTTAATTATCCCAACATGAAACTGATAAGGCAAAAGAGATTAAGCAAATGAATTTGTATGTCCCAAACACTTTGCTGGAGAGAAAAACTTTATAGTGAAACTTTTCTAAAAATGACTACAGTGTAATTACAAAAAAAATACGTAAATAATCCATGTCCCAAATATGTTTAAACTAAAGTGCATTTCTTGTTCAACGCATATTTCTTGTTCCAGAGCAATAATGCCTTATGAACTTTCATGATCTAAAGCCAATGTCTGCCTGAACATTTGATGGTGATCCTCACTACTAATCTCTTGAAGAGTTGTAGGGTATTGGCCAACCAAATAAGAAGTACAGGGATAGTTTTTGTTCTAAGACTTTTGTAATTATACATTGAGTTATTCTCAAAATGTTATCACCATATAACTAATCCCTTAATATCCAGACATGGGAAAGTATGGAATACATAATAATATGTATTATGAGACAAGTTATTAAATTTTTTTCACATTCCTCTTTTCTGCCAATGATTTTTATAAATTTATCTTAAGAGAAACTTAAAAACTGTAAAAGAAAGAGATGCTTAAGATCCATGGACTAATTTTGCCCCTTTCCATGTTTCCAGTAACTTCAGCGTATTTTCATGTGACTGTGAGTCTCAGTCTATTATCTTAATTCTCTGACACTCAGGATCTTAAGTAGTATATCTGGCATTTGATCAAACTTGGAGGATCTCTGAGTGAGCCTGGTCACACCCTATTCCATTTTGGCCTAAGCTTGAGACGGAGTTTCGCTCTTGTTACCCAGGCTGGAGTGCAATGGTGCGATCTTGGCTCACCGCAACCTCTGCCTCCTGGGTTCAGGCAATTCTCCTGCCTCAGCCTCCTGAGTAGCTGGGATTACAGGCACGGGCCACCATGCCCAGCTAATTTTTTGTATTTTTAGTAGAGATGGGGTTTCACCATGTTGGCCAGGATGGTCTCGATCTCTTGACCTCGTGATCCACCCGCCTCGACCTCCCAAAGTGCTGGGATTACAGGCGAGAGCCACTGCACCTGGCTTATTTATTTAATCTTAAATGCTCAGATGTCTAATGTCCTTAGAGATTTCAGTTCTTGGTCATTTCATCCCATAAGTTGTGTGTTTGATTACTACATTGGAGGTTCATTTTTTTTAACAGTTTAAGGATAATTGACATATTGATGTACATTATTAAAATTCAGCTTTCTGTCTCCTTTCCTTATGTAGTTCTGAAGTGAAGTTTCTTATTTAAGTTTGGAGATGAGGAATGGAATTCAAAAGAAAAGATAGAGAGAATATAGGAAAAATAGAAACTTTAGTCTAATGGTTTTTTTTTAAAAGACCTAAATGTAGATATTCAAAATATTACTCATTATTAGTCTACTTCTCTTAGTTGCTTTTTAATTTCTTCTTTAGTCCTTTGAATTCAGAATATGAAAAAGGAAATTTTAGGTCTTCAAAATGGTTATCATGTATGCTTGACTTGTGGTGGGATTACATCCTGATAAACCTATACAGAGTTGAAAACATTGTAAGTTGAAATGCATTTACTATGCCTTACCTACTAAATATCATAGTGTAGCCCAGTGCACTGTAAACATGCTCAGAACATTACCATTGGGCAAAACTCACCTGGCAACACAGTACATTGTAGAGTATTAGTCATTTACTCTCATGGTAGTGTAGCTGACTGGGAGCTGCAGGTTGCTGCTGCTGCTCAACATCTAGAGAGACTGTTATACCACATATTGCTAGGGTAGGAAAAGGTTAAAATTCAAAAATTCAAGTACAGTTTCTACTAAATATGTATTGCTTTCATACCATTGTAAACTTGAAAAATTGTTAGGTCAAACCATCAAACATCAGGGACCATCTGAGATTCCCAATTGACATTGGTATTATCGAAAAAAATCATAGAAAGGCTATTGAATTTAATAAGACTTTAAATGAGTGTGAAGAAAGAGATAGGTTTTTTTCCGATGATCACATGATAGGCAGAAAAGCAAACAGAAGAAAACAAAAAAAACCTATAAACCATTGTTAATACTTTGATGTATATATTTCTAGGATTTTTTCCATGTATACAGAGGCATGTGTATATAATAAAATTGTATTATACTATTTATGACACTTTATAATCAGTTCTCAATATTTTGAACATTAGAAGTCTTTGACAACATTTAGTAGACATGAGATTGTTTATTTAAATTGATATTCCAGTGTTGAACAATTTTGGATGTATTTTTTACTTTGATCCCTTGCAATACTGCAGCACTAACCATTTTTGCTTCTGAAGCTCTTCTTCATAATTATATATGCTAAATAAATAACAAAATAATATATGGTTCAAATGGAAGCACATGTTAGTCTTTGAGATCACAATGTTAACTGCTTTCCAGAAAGATTGTATGAATGTATATTCCCACTAACAGTCTATGCGAATGCCATTTCCTGGAAGTGAACAACAGTGGGTATTGATCTTTTAAATTAATCTTTGATTATTTTATAGGGGGAAAAGCCCTGACATCTAATTGCTGTCTTATTTTGCATATATTAGACTGCTGATGGGGCTGAACATTTAAAAATTATGTTTAGTGGTCGTTTGTACTACTTCTCTTCATCGTGGCCTGTCCTATTGAACTCCTTATCAATATTTCAGTAATTCTGTTGAAGTATTTATCATTTTGTTATTGATTTGCATGAACTCTTAATGTATTAAGGATATTAACTCTTTTACCTATGATCTGAATATTTTTTCCTACTTTGTCATCTATTTTCCATGTTATTTATGGTGTTTTAATCTATTTTTACTTACAAAATTTAGAAAATCTTAAGAAAACTGTCAAACTTTTATTCCTTTCATTGGTATACTGTTTAGAAAGGTCTTCCCCACTCTTATACTTTCTAAGTTTCTTTTTTTATTTTTAATGTAGACATTGATCTATCTGAAATGTTTTGCCTGATTTGAGGAAGGGATTATACTTATTTTCAGTGATTATTGTTTTCCCTATACCATTAGTTTAAAATTCTAAATGGTATTTTTTATCAGAAAGTATGTTTTCAAATAATGAAATATTTCCAATGTCTTTAGTTATATTGGGAGAATTTATAAGTACAGTATACAAAAAGGGAGAACAGTAAGATTTGTCCATAAAAGAGAAATTGACAGAGGACTAGGAAGACTAGACAAAGGAGGCATTGGTAGAGAAATAATATTATGTTTATTTGGAAGACTTTGAAGACCCAGAGGAGGCCTTGCAGGGGAAAGTTAACATGTTCATAGCAGCAACTCTTTTATGAGAAAGAGTATAATTGTCAAGGTAGTAAAGTGACTATGAATGAAAGTAGTGGGATCCATGACATGGGCTTAAACAATTGGAAAAAAAAGAAAAGGAATTAATATTAAAGGATATGACTGGTAAGAAACTAGTCCTCATCCATAAGAAAAAACTAAGCTGGACTCCAAAGAAAAAGGCTGAGTTCAGTTTTTACCATGCCATGTTTTAATAGCAAGAGTATTTCTGCATATGACCTCATGTGAAGAATCCTTGAATAATAAATATTATTTCTTTATGATACTGTGGTTTTTAAAATTGTGAAAACCAGAGAAGTGAAAACAAGATAACTATTCATTTTAATAATATTCTGACCAAGAATTTAAAAACATTTATTAATCAACTGCAAGTTAGAAGACACTGTACTTTGGGAGAAATGGTTCCCTTTCCTGAGGGTAATCTAATTGGACAAACATATATATATATATATGTAAATAAATGTAATAGACAAAATATGTTAAGTGCAAGAGAGTTATAAGCAAAAGTGCTAAAGAAAGCTTAAGGTGGGAAGAAATTAATTTTTATACAGTGGCTAAGTTTTATTTAATGGCATATTTTAAGGTATAATGTTTAATCATTATTTTGGGTCATTGGACCTCACCCATGGACAACTATCATCCCTTATTTTAAGTTTAGAAAAAGATTCATCAGAGTCCTCTATAAAACTCCAAAACCTAAGACCTAGGAGGAATCATCAAAATTATTTAGGTTAACTCCCATGATTTCACAGACTGAGGTATGCTAATATCTGGTGATGTT